ACTGCCCATATGGGTATATCATATATTTCTTAATTTTAGTCCTGCTTAGTTTTCACTGAGCCCAAGTATACACTGCCAGATCCAAATATTGAACTCACAATTTCTATGTCAGCAAATTTGCAAACAATACTAGGCTATATTTTTTAAATCTTTTAAAACATGCTCTTCTGGTACCATTGAAGGTGGATGTAGGAGAGGACGTCAACACAAAAAATTGGTTGGGCAATGTCAAACAGTGGACGAGTATGACTATACCAGAATTGCTGATGGCTGCCATTGATAGATCATTGTGGAGAGATTCAATATGGTTTCTGCATTCGGATCTCCACTACAATTACAGAAATCAAGAGGATGATGATGATGATGATGATGATGATTACTTTTAAATTTCCTTCTTTTATATTGAACGTATTTTCCATCCAAAGTTAGAGTTTTTTTTTAATTTTGATATATTTTCTCATTATTTGCATTATTTACTTGTAGACTATTGTGCTCCTCCTTGGTCTTGTTATCACAGCATTTTGTTCATTGGTACAACATTCCATCAGGTATATGTCAATCCAGGCAACCTCCAGGGAATTCCAAATTGAACTCCTTACAGGAGTAAATTGTTATCATTCCACTGACTATATAAGTATATTATCTTATTCTTAGTACTGCTCAGTTATTGCTGATCAAATTTCCACTGAGTCCAAGTACACACTGCCAGGTCCAAATTACTATGTCACCAAATTCATGAACCAATGCTGTATATTTGATCAAGTACTGGCAAAAAGATTACAGAAAAATTGCTATACATTTTGAAAACTTAAACTCACTTCTAATACACACAAAAAAAAAACAGGTGATAACTTTGATTTTGTAAATGCCACTATAATTAGAATAGAACATAATTCATTATGCAGGAAATACTTAGAGGGAGTTCTGATAAATATTTTGTCATCTATAGACATATGTCAAATGTACTTTATTATATCATCAACTTTTATAAGATCCATATTTAAAGAAATTAGGATATGTCTATCTACAACCACAACTGGTGTAACTTAAATTCTTTCACCCCCACACAAAACAGCCACAATTCAACATGCAGACAAATACCAAACATAGATAAAAATACCTATTAGATGCATACAAACAAATACATATTATCATCTGAATCTTTCATAGACAAACTAGAATTATGATACACATACACACATGAATTATACACATGAACACTGCTTGAAAGGACAGATATATGTGCAGTCTGCTTAAGCAATGAAAAAAAACATTACAAAAATAAAAATGCTAGAATTTTCTTTTCTTCATCATATTTCATTTTCTGATGAAGCTTTGATAAAAGCCAAACATGTGAAATTTATAAACGTTTTCTATTTGTTCCATATACCATTATTTCAGTTATCATACAGGTTGTTTTGACTTTGCATTCTATCCAGGGATATTCAATAATTTCCTTTTACCTCCTCAATCTTTCAAATACTTTGGCTAATTCCTGTAATACCATCAATGTAGACAAAAACTTAATCCAATCATTCAAGAATTTGATTTATCAACTGCTGGAAAGTCTGTACCACGTTTCAAAGCCTAAAACCAATATCTAATGACAAGCACGAATCAGATCAGCTTTTGAAATTGTGGCAGTACCTTATATTTGGTTTGGAACTGTGTTTGAATTTACTTTGCAGTCATCACCACTAGATTTCTATGAAAAGCCTTTTTTTTAGTATAATGTAGTGTGGACCAACAGCTATTAGAATGATGAATTACTAAAAGTTAGAATTGTTATTTTGTCATCCAAAGCTTATCTAATACAATTCAATGAAAATGGAAAAAGATAAAATAAGGGGGAGTGGTTTCACTTCGATGTGTAATGTCGAGTTTTGTTCCAGGTGTATTGAAATTTGGTTTCATTTCGTCAGAAAAGTCTGAAAATATCTGCTAGATGAAGACAGAATATATTGTTGTCAGGAATAGACTATTGCTGTCAAATATGATCCAGTGCTGCTGCTATTTACCCTAAGCTCCTTGATAAGATCCAAAGAAGAACCAGCAATATTATTGATCCTGATCTGGCAGCTCAGATTCATTCACCATAAGGTTGCCTCTCTCTGCCTTTTTTATAAATACCTTCATGGTAGTTGTTCAGATGAGCTCTTCACTATGCTACCTAGGCTTTTGAATTTAAGTGCAGTACTAGATTAGCATTGAGATCTCATCAATTTACAATTGAGCTAATTCAATGTAGCCATAACTTCTATGCTAACAGTTTCTTTTCTCGCACTTCTCCTTTGTGGAACTCTCTTCTGGCTCCATGCTTTCCAGCCAACTTTAATCTGCAAAAGTTTAAGTGCAATGTCAGTCATTATCTACTGTCTTCCTGATTACTCTTTCTACTTATTAGTAATTTTTCTGTTTCTAATTCCTCCACATCCTGTAACTCCTTGCATTTTGTTGGCTGTACTGCCTTGTTTGATACTGATTAAAAAAAAAAAGTCATCCAAAGATGCTTGAAAATCAAGTAAATATAAAATTTAAATATCTGAGTATGGTTTTATCAGAGGATGGAAAATATGACAAGAAAATATGAAGGTAATTTGGAATAGTGAAAGATGCCTTCCAAAAATTAAGCAAAGAATTAAGAAACTGGAATATTTCATTAGAAACAAAGAAATGAGGTATAAACTCATATGCAATATCTATTTATTTTTCTATATGCCAGTGTACAATTTCCTTACAAATGAAGAATAAACCTCAGGTAACAAAAATGTGGTTCTACAGAATGATGTTGAGGAAGAGGAGAGGTGGCAAGAAAGAAGGAAGAAACATGAAAATAGGAGATGATTGGAGAAGAGAAAAAGGAAAAAGATAGAAAAAAGAAGAGTGAAGGTGAGAAAGAAGAAGAAAGAGAAAGAAGAGGTGAGGAGGAGAAAAGAAAAAGAAAAGAGAAAAAAATAACTGAGAAAAGGAAAAAGTGAGAAAAAAGAAAGAGGAAAGAAATGAAGAGATAAAGGAGAGAAGAGAAAGGAAGAGGAGAGAAAGGAAAAGATGAATGTGTGATTGGTAATGATGTAGTAGTCATTGTGGTAAGTTAACATTGCAAAGATGATGGTGACTATAATCATTTTTCCTGATATTTTATTTTTTGAATACCAGAGTAATTGTGTAAAAAAAGCAATTAAGAAGTAAGTAAATATTAATAAGAAAATAATAATAATGATAATGTTTGGCTATTAGAATTCATTAATGGATAACTGTAGGGATGTTATAAAGTAATAAAAGGCTATCTTCTTTTATTTGCTGTGCCTGGTCAGGAAGTAGGAAATCATGGCTCTCCACAACTTCTTATTCTTTGTAGCTCTTAGTAAGCTTTGTCTTTTCATGACCCCTCCCAGTTCCTGTTCTGGTATCCATTTGCACAAACTTGTTTAGTATGTTACTTACTGCTTCACTTACCTTAAGTATGTCCTGTGTGTGTCAAATTCTCCAAGTTCTCTTTCTTCATTATTTATCCCAGATATTTCATCTCTCTCTTTCAGATTCTAAATCCATGTGCATTATTTGTTTTCTATTTTTTTAAAGCTTCCTTGTTGCTCACATATTCAATCTACAGTATTCGCAGCATCTTTCTATCTCATTACTACTGTGATGACTTTTCGCTGTTAACATGATGATGATGATGATGATTATGATGATGATATTTACAATGATTATACTGATAATGATCTAATTATAGTGATGATGATGATGATGATGATGATGATGATGATGATGATGATGATGATGGGAAGTTTGATCTGGATGATAATGATGTTGATATGATGCTGCCGATGGTGCTGATCATGGTGGTGATGCAGTGGCTATATTCGTGCAGATTGCATGTGGCCTGCTTTTTTCTTTACTCTCTAATCTGACAGTAAAGAAAGAGGTGCACACTAGAAGCAATAAAAGAAATAAAGCAGAAAGAAAAAACAGACAAAAGAAAAAAAAAATGAGTAAAAAAATGAAAAGCCCAAATAAACAACTAAAAGCAATTGAAATGCCAAAAGAAATGAAAAATAAATCAAACCAATACAGAGACATTTCAAATCAAACAAAAACTGCATCTCCATATCAAGAACATCTATCCATCCAGAGCTAAACTTCTATAAACCATCTACAATGTTGTTCGATTTGGACCATTTAAGTGAGCAAGATTTCTCTGGTTTTCTTTTTGTTTTGTTTTATATTTATTTGATACACTTGACTCTTCTCTATTTTTGTTTTGCATGTGTAAATATACATGCCAGAGAGGGAAAATGACAAACAAGCGAAATGCTAGGGTGGGGGTAGAATCAGATTAAGGTAATCTGAGTCAAAGCCTATTCTTGCCCAAAAGATTACAACCAACCAATTTACACTTGAATGGCAACCATTCACTTCCATTACTATTTACTTTCACTTTCACTTTCACTTTTAGTCTCATTTGTATTATTCTTATGCTTGCTAGTGTTAGTTATATTGTTGCCATTGTTATCTTATATCCATTATTATTACTTTTATAAGTTTTATTGTTATTCTAACAAACTTTGTTATTACTTCTTTATTATGCTTTTATAAGTGTTATTTATATTCTATTCATAAAAGATGTATCAACTGCTCATCATATTTGTTTTTTATTTTAACAAGACTACTTTTCTCATTGTTTTCTATTCTTTTATCTTGATTTAATATAAATTTTTAGCTGCTTTTGTAAGCATTACCTTAGCATTCATAACTGGCAATAGTGACTTTATTCTATAAACAAGAAAACTTGTAAAAGTTTTGAATTATAACAATCAAAGAGATTGTTATTTATTTTGAGTTCTTTCTTTCTTTACTTGGAGAATATAAAAGTATAAATATTAGCTTATAGATCCCAAACATTATGATTTTTATGAACCAGAAATTGGAGTGAGAAAATTATACTCTAATACTACTTTTCTATTTCAATAATGTGGAATTAACAGAAAGTAAATGCTTATGACCACATCATGTTGAAACACCAGTTCCTGTAAGATCACCAAAGTTAAGCTACATTTAAGCTGGTCAGTAGCTAGATGGGTGACTACATGGAAATACCAGGTGCTGTAAGCTTAAATATCCGGGTGCTCTAATGGATAATAATCTCAGTTTGTTCATATCTATCTTAACCTATTAAAATCTGTTCTTACCTATTGCACATATATAAACTAATATTGTACACTGCTGGAAGTATTAATGTAACAAAATAGAAAGAATTAAAAATTTAGCAAACCATCCCTTTGAATCTAAAGAAAATAATATTTACAGTGTAAAATAAACAAGATGAAAACTCACTTATATACAAAAATAGAAATATAATGGACATGTATGTGCAAGCACACAATTCATATATAATTATGAAATGTGATTTTTAATCGCCCCCATAAAAGCTAAAAATTCCTGATATCTCTAATTTATGCTTGCTTCATGAATTATATGGTCAATTTATAAAATTTATGTTGACTTTATAGAATTTGAGAAATTTTATGGGGATTTTATAAAATTTATAAAAATTCATGAAAAATGCATATTTAAATTGCTATATAACTATCATAAACTGATTGTGTGTGTGTGTGTGTGTGTGTAGAAAGAGAGAGGGATAAAAATAGTGTAAACATAGGAATCAATACAACATGGTTACTGTTAGTTTTAAGTTTCAATGTATACTTTGTCTGAAGACAACATTAAAGCCTGTCTATATCTATAAACACTCTATCTTTGATATTTGAGCATTATTTCCATATAAATATAGTAACTTTATATAAATATAGACAGATAGATAGATAAATAGATAGATAGAATTTCTGGAAGTGAGATAGATATAGAGATATAGATAGATATAGCAATAATTTTTATTAAAGATATATTATTTTGAATTAGGTTTTATTTGAAAGTCTTTTTTTCCTTAAGTAAACCACTTTTTGCCTCAATGAAATCCAAGTTTAAACCAGTACAAAATAAAAATCATTATATCTGACTGTATTGACTTGGATATTTCAAAAGTAAAGCAATCAAAAATTGGCCTTATTTGATTGAAACATTCAAAACAAAAGCCACAGGTTCAGTGGGTAATCAGGTCAGGGTCAGCTCTGATCCTTCAATGCCTTTTCCAACAACTGATCAACAGTTTCATGCATGCATTGAAACAGCAAAAAGGCTGGATCACAAAAGACGCTCTCTAATCTCAGACCAGGATCAATTCATGACAGGGGATAAAGTAGTTGCCCTTTGTGAAGATGTTAACAAAAGATCAATAATTTTTTTATGATTCTTGGAGAAGCCAACAATAACCCCTGAGACAGATGATATTTCAAAAATCTCCAATTGCCATCATCAGAATAAATACAGGACGAAGTGCTGCTGTTTTTGGCCAGCGTTGACAAACAGTGGATTCACAGCCAATGGACATTGGCCAAGATGGCTTGGCACAGCATCAGAGAAATTGGACTTCACAAAGGAATGTTCGATTAACATGAGCAAAATCTCCGCTTGAATTTGCTTATTGAAGCTGAAGCTCACCTGGCAATATCTAAATTGACCGCCAATCAATCAAACAAAGAGGGCTCAGTGGCAATGCTCACTTTTTCCAGGACTGCCAAAAAAAAGAGAATATGCAGAACTTCTCTATATTACATGAAATAAATCAATAAATAACTATTGTCAAATGGGGTGACTAGGAGCATTTTTGAGGATCATTTGATGTCTGGAGAAATCTCACACCAAAAAACATTTTTTTATAAAATAATAAAAAAAAACAGCATAAATATCTAAACTTTCAACAAAGATATACAAAAATCATTTGATGCTTTTGGCAGTAAAAACAATCTGTTATAAAAAAAAGTGAAATTTCTTTTTGAATTTCTTTTGATATTTTTGGTTTGTAGACCGAAAAGACATCAAATATTGATCAATATTTTGACCAAGTTTAAGGGAAAAGTTAGTTCTTTTTTAAAATATGGTATTGAATTATCATTTTGTGGAAAATGTACCTTTCTCATAATTCATTACTGGTTTAAAATCTATTACTTAGTTGATGATTTTTCTATCTTATTTTAATAAATAATCATATTTCCCTTAGCAACTTTCTAAAATAGTTATTGCACAAAATTAAATTCTTTTTCTGGTCATAATGCAATTATTGTATAATTTTACAGTTTGTATATAAGACAGTAAATAGATCCCAAGACACAGATGATAAAATCCATAAATAAATGTGAACCATATATAGCAGGTATCTCCAAATATTTTCACTTGGAAATCAATCATCCTCATTATCATTAGTCCCATGACCGGGTATTGTTATAGGGTCAGCTGAGCACCTGATCAGCTCCCTCCATATGCCTCAGTCGTATACCATTTTCTTAGTCTCTGTGAATGATCCTTCAATCCACTCAGTGGTATTTCCAGCTTAGTTTTTCCTCTGCTTGCCACTTCTTTTACCTAAGCTGGTAGCTTGTAGAATGGCAGTGAAAATATTATTGGCTCTTAGGATACGTCCTTAACATTTCAAATTTCTTTTCTTGACAGTGGATACATGGTTTTCCAACAGGCATATTTCTTGAATGATGATGTCTCGCACTATGTTGTTTGTGATATGGTCTATGTAGAAGATACATAGGATGGTTTTGTTGCATCTCATTTCAAATGCTTGGATTATTCAATATAATACTGATTTACAGACATACAGAAAGAGAGAGATCACTCTGATCTTTGATTAACATACAAATGTACTTGTCATTCCAAATGATGCAAAAGCTACCATTGTTTGTGCTGATCTTGAAATTATTTCAGTTCTGGTAAACTCCTTTAAGATACTGACCACTGACTTTCTCACACTTCATCATGAGATTTTTTTTGATTTTTTTGGCATTATTTGAAAAATACTTGAGGCACCAACAAAACATCTAACATATTTTCATAAACTTCAAAAAAGCCTTTTACTTAGTTTGGCATGAGACATTATGGGCAACAATGAATAAATATAACATGAGTAAGAAATTGATCCATACTAGTCAGCACCTGTATAATAAGGCAATTAATGTCATTCTACACATCAGCCAGATTGTGCAAAGGCTTCATTGTACACATCATGAGTGGTTCTCTTGAGAAGCACTAGGGCACAATCATCATAGATGGTCACAATATAACAAAACAAAAAAGATGGTCTCGCTGGCAAAGATGAGGAACTCATCAGTCAGGTAAAGAATCTGCATGAAATAAATTAAAAAGTATTAAGAAACAGGAAAATATCATTAGAAACAAATAAAAGAGTACTGAACTGCTATTTAATATCAATCATTCAGCAGCAAATGCTGGGAAATTTCCTCACAGATTATGAAGAGACCTGAGGCAACAAGGATGTTGTTCTACAGAAAGATGCTGAGAATATCATGGACAGAACATGTAACATGCAACAAGGAACTTTTAAGGAAAATGGGAATGCATTTAAAATTAGAAAAAGATAGCTTGGAAAATTTGATACTCACAGGACAGGATACCTTTTGGAAATTGCTATTTCTTTTCCACTCCTCATGTTTCTGAAAAGGTTCTAAATTTTCCGTTATCTAGACAAACCTATGTTTGGAAAGTCCTTTAAACTCACTCATAACAAAACAGGCCATAACTTTGATTTTATAAATGCCCCTATAATTTGAATAGAACATAATTCATTATGCAGGAAATACTTAGAGAGAGTTCTGATAAATATATTGTCATCTATAGACATATGTCAAATGCACTTTATTATATCATCAACTTTTATAAGATCCATAGTTAAAGAAATTAGGATATGTCTATCTACAACCACAACTGGTGTAACTTAAATTCTTTCACCTGGACAATCACCAAACATAGACAAAAATACCTATTATATGCATACAAACATATTTGAAATCACAAATAATGTCTATGTCAAGCAGCTGAAGCAATGAAATCATATTTGAATGTTAAAATAAAATCTCAGTATTTTTATTTTCTTGGGTGTAGAGATTAGGTATAGTCATATCCATTATCTATTACTAAAAAAGATTTCAAATTCCAAGCCTTCCTCTTCTAAGTAATATTTCACTTCTTAGAATGATTCTCCCATTTTTTGATTCCCAGAATATGGACAGATAATGTTTATTTTTGTGTTTTCTCAGCACATGGTGTTTCCAAACTATAGACAAAATCAAACATTATCACGTGTTCTGCAGCATATGCATAAATAAATTTTTACAGTGATTGAGCATAAAATATAATCTTCAAAAAAACCAATTGTTAGGCAATTAAAATGGAGTTCCATTATCCCACCAGTGAAAACTATAGCAATCCCTCTTGCCATGAGGAGGAAAATGGAGCAGTCACCACCTACAAAGAAATAATGACCTGTCCACCATTTAATAATTCAGTGAAAACTCAAGTGGGGAAGAATTTTTATGAACTTAATCAAAAGGCACTTCCTACTAGGATATGTACTAAGTAGAATATTTAACAGGAACTCAATAAAGTGGGTTATAGTTGTGCTGAAAATATGATGTAGATATAAAGAAAACATAACCAAAAAGTGCTCTGCAAGACCATTGTTAATAGTCCCTCCTCTCCTCCTCTTAAAACACTTATGGGTGAGTGCCTTCAAAAATGTTATATACCAAGCCACAAGAAAGGTGGATGATGAACCTGACATGGTTTATTTTGTGACAATAAAATGTCCTTTTTCAATAATAGTATGAGAGCAGGACTACACTGTTCAAATATATATGGGAACAAAAATGGAAATCAGGTAAATTCTCTAGCATCAAATGGAAGATCCTCAAAACAGCACAATTTCTCAAAGAATTATAAAAATCTTGTGGTTTATGCTTGGAAGATACACTTCAAATTATAACATTACCTACACAAGAATGCCTTTTAAATAAAAGATCAGATCTCATTAGCAAATGTCAGCATGTGAACAAGTTTTTCTTGAGCCAGTTAGCTCCTGGCTGAGCAAAAATATGAATCTGGTAAATTTATTTCATTTTAATCAGATGACTATTCACACATGTGTTTGTGTTTCAGAGAAGGATGCATATATACTGACAGCATAATGGA